CCACATCCTGAGGAAAATTCCTCACACAACCCTTAGAAACCTCCCTGGTTCTCCTCAGCTGACCCACCTGCACCGTCGCAGGGCAGAGCCCGTTGATGTGGCACCTGGAATTTCATCCCAGAGCCCGTTGTCTGTGCAAACAAACCCCAGGTCTGGGGTAGCAGAGGTGAGGAGCCAGACTGCAGCTCGCTCAGCAACCTCAGCAAGGAGCTGGGAAGCTCTAATTGAGGGGAATTCAGGGCAATTCACAGGAAAGAACCGACGTTTCCAAAAGCGGCCACGGATCCGTGGATGTCGAATCACGGATCTGATTCCCCCTCCCAACTCCCACCACGTACTTGCTACGCCAAAAAAAGGCTTTATCTGGGTGGATTTTCGAGGGAAGCAGGGAAGGATAAGCCTTTTCTGTACCACTGCCCAGTTCCTGGATGAAACACAGAACGTCACGACTGACCGGACACTGTCACCCCCCTGTCCTCTCCCACAGGGAATTCGTCCCATCAGCTGGAAACCTCCCCCTCTTTGGGGCAAAACATCAGAAAGCAAAGTGTTTTACCTGCACAGGCAGCGGAGAGCAGCTCCTAGGAGAGGTGCATCCCTGCAAACAGCCTGTCCCAAGTCCATGCTAAGGACAAACCCCCAGCCCGGGGTTGGGGTCACCGAGCCCTGCGGGGCGACCCACGGACAAGAGCCACTCACTCATCAGCCTCATTCCTCCATGGGGATGTTCTTCCCTGCTCCAGCCTCCCTGGGAGTGCTCCTGTGCCTCCTTAGAAAGCTGATTATGAAGGAGTAAGTCAAGCCCAGCCAGCTGCTTTAATTGAGCTCGTTTGTTCATTAACCCCTCAGTCCCCAGGGTGGGAGTTCCTGCATCCCCTGCAGCACAAGGCCGGGATGTACCCACACCTTGGCAAGGAAATGTTGTGTTTTGTGCCCAGTGATGGCTCCAGAAGAGCTTGAACCACGTCCTGGGACATGTGTGATCCAACACAGGGCTCCTTCCCTTTCCCTTCCAGCTTCAGGCCCAAGAAGTGCTGAGGAGACACTTGAGGGACAAAACCTTGCCCACAGAGCTGCAAACCTTCTCCAGCTCTATCCCATTAGCAGCTCCCACCTTTTGTCACTCAGGGCCAGGATCTGGCCCAGCTGGTGGCAGTGGAGGAACCCTCAGATGACCCTCTTTGCCTGTTCAATCCCATTCCCACAAAGGGATTTTTTCCCTGTTCTTCCCAAAAAACTCAAATTCTAGTTTTCTCCCTGCCTCAAGCCAAATTCTGCTGCTGAACAGCAACTACTCCAAGAATTGCATTTACCTGCAGTAAAACTGAACTCTGGAAGCAGAATCATTAATAAAAAATCATTAATAAAATCATTAATAAAAAATCATTATAAAAATCCAGTTCTGATTTTACTCGGGGAGGGGGGGGAAAGGAAAAAGAAAACCCTAATGCAATGATCCATCTTAGAGCTATATTTCCAAAGGGGCTTTAAAGCAGGCTGAGGATTTGCACTGGCCCTTGGCTCATCCCTCAGGATGAGCAGCCAGCACGAGCTCCACGTGGGCAGCTGGGGATGTCACTGCTGTCACTCGTGCTGCCGAGGATGGAGGGCCCTGCACTGCGCTCCTGCTAAATCCAGAGCCCCAGCTGCAAATTTAGAAACGTTGCCTGAATTTCTCTCCGTGCTCTCCCACGTCCTGCCCTGCTACAACTCCCGTCTGCCTGCATGAATTTCTTAAAAAGCACTGCTTAGCAACCTGACAGCCTTCTGGCTTCCAGCACAAGGCAACCAGTCCCTCCCATTCCCGCTCCTCCGACAGGGAACCCATGGCAGGCACATGGATTCACTTAGAGCACTGACAGGGAATCCATGGCAGGCCCATGGATTCACTCTAGAACACCCTCTGAGGCAGAGCCAGGTTAAAGCCCAGCAGCCTCGGTGACACTTGTGTCACCTCCTGGCAGCCCTGGTGCTTTTCTGCCTGTGGGGAGGCAGAAGGATCCTCGTCCCTCCTGCTGCCACAGGTCGCATCTCACTTGCCCAGGGAACGTTTCTGGGGAGCAATACCCTCACTGGAGCAAAGGAGGGGTAATTACAGAGCCTCCAGTAAACCTTGTAAGCCATCCAAAGCCCCCAGAGGGAAGCAGGTGAGGCTGCAACACCCACTGCACAAGAGATACGGATCTAGGGTGGGTTGTTTTATAAAAATCTCTCCTCTCCCTTTGTGGTTTTTCCAAAGAAATGGCAGAACACACCGGGCAGGCTGTTAAGTCCCCACTGCCAGTGCTCCCAGCCCTGTGTCCCACAGCAGCTCCACCCCAGGAGCAGAGTGGACCCTCTGGAGAACAGAGAAGGGCTTGGGACTAAGGATGAGACACTGTGGCTGTTCCTGCCCCACAGTTTGGAAGGGTGCAGCCTCACCAGTTGCCTTGGGCTGGGAGCAGAGGGAGGCAGGATGGGGCAGGTCCAGAGCGAGCAGGGAGTGCTGGGAGCGAGTCTGGAGCGAGGGAGAAGAGCAAAGGGGGACAGAGAAAAGCACGAGACGGGGCATGAGTCATGTTGGCACGTGGCCTCTGCAGAGAGCCCTCGAGCAAAGAGGGCATGAAGTGAATTCCTTGCCAGGCAAAAAGCCTCTGGAACAAAAGGCAGCCCAAAATAGGCTCTGGAATACCTGTGTGCTCCGGCTCATCCCCAGCACACTCACCTGGGATGTGGTCCTTGCTGGCATCTGGTCATGTTTGACCAGGCCAGGAGCGCCCACAGCAGCCCCAGATCTCCAGCTAATCCTTGGGAAAGCCTCCTTCCCTCCCCAGAGGGGAGAGCTCTCCCCAAACAGCCAGCACGGGCTCTGCAGGTCTCACACACTCCCAGGGCAGAAATCCCACTGCAGGCAGCGACTTTCCGTGCAGCCCATCCACACCTTCCCACCTGGGAGCTAAGGGTGAGGGAGTTTTAAGCCAGGATCAAGAAACCAGCCCTCCCAGACCTTTGGGGAAAGCTTGGATCTGCAGGTGAGCAGCGTGGCTCCAGCCCTTGGTGCCACCTGGGGATTGGGAAAGCCGGCGATGAGGGTGTTCTCCCAGGAACACCCCAGCCCTCTGGAATCACAACAGCAGCTCCATTAGCTGTGGCTCTTCCTGCAGCCACAGCAGGTTCCCCACTTGGCTGAGGCTGGAGCCTGGCCAGGAGCCATCCTTCAGCTGCTGGATGGCTTGTTTCCACAAAGAAGGATCCAAACCCCGGCTTTAGTTACCTTTCTCCTCTGTGGAAACAGCGTTTCTGCACCCTGGGGGGGTTAGATTTTAGGGAAACTGGCTGTTTGTGGGGGCCAAAAGTGTGGGGGAAGAGGACCTTTCTCTTTAGTGCTTGTAGAGCATCAGGTCCTGGCCTGAATTGTGGCCCCTGGAATGACAAAGAGCAGGAGAAACCCTCAGGGAGACCCTCAGAGAACCTCAGTGGTGGGAAGTGCCCTACTTCATCCATCTCCATTGTATCAGCATCTCCTTCAGGGGCAGCATCCCTAAATATTCTAGCTTAAGAGCAAAACAAGGATTTTCAGCTCCCTTGCTCCTTCTTTCACTGCTGTGACTTCAGCAAAGCTGGAAGAGCCCCCACCATCCACATCTCCAGCCCCACGACACCATCCCCAGGGTGGATTCCTTCCCAAGCTTGTGTGTCTCATCCAGAGATGCTCCTACCACCCCTTGGAGAAGGGCACCATACCCATCCCCACCTCTCCAGCTTCTCCCTTCCCCAGAGTCACCACCAAAAAACACCTGTAGGGACCAGAGAACAACCTCTCTGCTGTACAAACCCGCCCTCCCCAGGGCAGGGAATAGGGATCAGCTCATTTCCCAGTCCTTGTTTTGGGCACAACTCAACATTCCTCCCTAAAGCAGCTCAAGGGCAGCGTGAGACGAGCACGTGAAGCCCTGATCTGGGAGAACATCGGGGTATCAGCAGCAGGGCAGGGGCACAGCCGAGTTAGAGCCTGCAGGGCACCGAATATCAGCTCGAGACGTGCTGGCAAAGCCACGTGGAAAGGGCACCCTGCCTGCCTCGAACTCCTGACGCTTGTTCTGTGTTTGTACAAGCACAGAATTCCCTCCCAGATGTTTGCAGAAGCTCAGGAACTTGGCACAGGAGCGAGGAGTTGGCCTTTAATTAACCAGAAGTCAAATACAAGAGGGACGTCAGAGCCCGGGAGCTGCTCTGCCCCCCTGATAGGGGCTCTCAGCTCTTCTGGGGTCTCACACATCCCTGTCTCTCCTTGGCACTCTCCTTTCATGTTAAAAAGGACTTTTCTGGTGCTGCTTTCCTGATCCCTTTGAGGGCACACCTTGGACTGAGCTCCACAGATGCATCTCCCACCCCTTCACACGTTGAGGACTCCAGTGTGCCCAGTGCCAGGCAGATGGAGAACCACCAGCACAGAAAAGCAGATCTGGGGACAACACAACCACCTCAACCACACCAGAAAGGCCATTTCCAATGTCTGCTTCAGCCCCCACAGCAAACACCCCCCATCCATCCCCCATTTCACCAGGAACTGGAGGGACAGGACAGGGGGGAATGGCTTCCCACTGAAAGATAATAGGTTTAGATTGGATATTGGAGAGAAATTCCTCCCTGTGAGGGTGGGCAGGCCCTGGCACAGGTTGCCCAGAGAAGCTGTGGCTGCCCCATCCCTGGAAGTGTCCGAGGCCAGGTTGGACGGGGCTTGGAGCAACCTGGGCTAATGGAAGGTGTCCCTGCCCATGGCAGGGGGTGGGAGGAGATGATCTTTAAGGTCCCTTCCCACCCAAACCATTCAAGGATTTCATGACCCTATCCACCCACAGTTTCCCCTGGATGCCACCCCACCAGCTGAGCTCACACACAGGCAGAACAGATCATAGAACCATAAAATGGTTTGGGCCAGAAGAGATCTTAAATCCCACCTCATTTCACCCTCTGCCAGGGGAAGGGACACCTCCCACTATCCCCATCCAGCCTGTTCTTGAACACTTCCAGGGATGGGACATCCAAAGCTCCCCTGGGCTGGACATTCTCTGCTCTGTCTCTCAAGGTGTGCAAATCTTGCCAAGCTGTCTCACCCCAACCCCACTTCCCCCCCCCACACTCTCTCACCCCAGGTTAACTCCACTTTCCATCACATGTATTTCAGAGAAGGACAGAAGTACCAGAGACAGGCCATGACCATTGTCATCCTTGAACAGAGGGCTAACACAGCCTCTCCTATCATTTGGCAAAGAGTCATTTCCCCCTCTTCCTTGGTGGTTTCTGCACTGTTTGCTCGGCTCTGGGGCCTCCTGGCAGGGAGGAGCAGCAGGAATTACCTCCTGCTGCCCCCCTGAGGTGTCCGTGGGCTGCAGGGCTGGCCCCGGTGGATCTTCAGGTGTTTGGCTAAATGGTCACTGCGGGCAAACCTCTTCTCACAGGCAGCACATTGGTAGGGCTTCACCCCGGAGTGGGAGCGCTTGTGACGGGAGAGCTCGTCCGACCGGGAGAACCTGCGGGAGAAGGGAACAGAGGTGGGCTCCAGCCTTCCCTGCTGGACAGCACAGGGGATATGGGCACCCTGGCATGGGGGAGGCTGAGCTCTGCCTCTGCCACAGCCTCCTGGATCACCCCAGACAGGTCACTCCTCTGCCCCATCCAACCTGCCAGGGAGGGCAGAGCTCCCGAAACACACTCCTCCAGGTTTGGAAATAGGGTTTGGGATCCTGCTTGGAAATAGGAAGGGGGAAAGCAATTCACCCACTGAGATCTTAATTTCTTTCCACTGCTCTTTAAGGACACTGGCCACATACTTCCTTCATTTGTTTTAACTTGCTGAAATGCAGGAGCTGAGAGCCCCGAGGCCAGACATGGTGAGACAGGGATTTTTGGGGCATCCTCCCAGGCTGGCAGTGCCTAGAGGACACACAGTCCAGGAGCCTGGGAGGGAAGGCTTTCCTATAACTCCCCATCCAGCCCAGAGCTGTTGAGAGAAGGTTTGTTTTCTCTGAGGGTGTGGGTTCTCCCTGCAAACTCTGAGCATCCCCTTGTTCCTCCCAGTGGCAGCGAGTTTTCCCCGTCAGCTTGGGCTGGACTGGGAGCTGGGAAAAGGGAAGCTGCCTGGGAGCTGAGTTAAACACAGAGAAAAAGGGAGGAAAAGCAGACACAGCCAGCCTGGAGCACAGGGCAGAGGTTCCTGTGCCAAAGCGACTGTTGGTTCTGAGGATGCAGGAACAAGGACCACAGGAATACCCAGTGTCCACACTCCTGCTCTGTGTAACTCCCACACCCAGAGCAGATCAGATGAACAGCCTGGAAAGTCCCTTTAACCACATGAAGTGTCCCCACTTATTTCCCCTGCACCTTCCTTCCACCTGGCACACACAGCTCCAGCCCTGGGGGCACGGGCAGCAGGTGGGTCACAGGTACTTTGAGTGCCACCCCCAAGGTCTCACAAGGCCTGGAGTGGCTCCAGGATGGCTTTGCATGTCAGGGCAGTGCTGGAGAGCAGGACCAGGCTGGATTTCCTCCTGCTCTGCCTGTGAGGAGCCAGCACAGATGGCAGGAGCATTAGGACGGGAGGGTTTTTCCATCTGGCTGAAACGTGCCCACGCAAAAAAGCACAAAGCAAAGAGCTTCAGCTGCAACCCCAGACTCCTGTGAGAGGATTTCAGGCTCACACCTGGGCTGGGAAATCCTGTGGCTGCTCACAAAAACCTCTGTGGAAACCAGACGTGTCCCAAGGCCACCCTCAGGTCTTCCAGGAGAACCACTGACTTCTTTCCCAGCTTTGTGGAGAGAAGAGAGTTCCAAGGTCTCAGCTCCCCCATGAAGAGCAGGGCCAGGAGAAGGGACAGATCTATTTTTAAGTGAGGGACACGTCTAGAAAAGGGAGCACAGCCTGGAGAACCAGGTGAGTCCATCTGATAGCACAGCTGATGCTGTGGAGGGGGAGCAGAGCACAGCACAGGAGCCTGCAGGATGCTGTTGGACAGGCTGGCACCAGCCCTTTCCTCCTCCCCAGAGGGAAAAGTGATGCTTGTGTGGTTGCCACCGTCCCCTCCTCAATCCCCAGGCTCTGAGCAACAGGTACAGGAGGGTTCAGCACTCCTGGTTGGGACTGGAAAAGGAGCTGATGCTGATAAACCTGTGCTGTGGTTGCAGCTGAAATGGAGGGACAGTTTCTGAGGGCAAAGGGACAGCAAGAGGGAGCCCCAAAATTCAGATTAGTCTCAAACCTTCTGGGGCTTCAGCACCCCAAGACAGACACTGTAAAACCATCCAGGGGAACGAGGCAGAGAGGGAAAGCCAGAACATTGTGTAAGAAACCAGGAAAGCTCAGCTGCCAACACCAGTTCTGTGTGATATCCCTGGAGATCTGCTGATGGAAAGACCTGAGGACTGTCAGCCCTTCCTGCCAAAGGCTGTACGAGCATCCTGCCCCTCGGGACAGGCACCCAGCACCAGGAAGAGAACACCCCAGCAGAGCAGTAATCAGGGAAGTGCAGCCAGATTAAACAGCAGCGTTAATTTAGGGAACAGGGCTCATTTAGGGAACACAGATCAAAGGAAACAACCACCACCATCATGTGCAGAGCAAACAAAAGTAAATGCAACATGGAGATACACCACAGGCCCACGGGGGTGTGAGGGATACGGGCAGCCAGGGCAGCAAACAGCAAGAGAAAGCAAAAGGTTGCAAAACAAACACAGAATTACACACTGGCTGCTGAGGAAGGACTGATACTCCTGTTTCCTTGGATAAATATTAATGGGAGAAGCCATTTTTGGAGCCCCCACTGCAGAAATTGTCCTGAGCTAGACACAGAAAGCTTCCAAGATGAACACATCACTTGGAAAAGGTCTATTGCCAGAGGGGGTTTAGGCACCCAGTTCAAGGAGGATTTGGGGTGCTGGGGAGAATATCAGCTACGTGTCCCCAGCTGGAGATTTTCAGCACTTTTGGACTGAGTGAAAACCACCCAAAACACTCCACAAGCTTCACTTCTCCAGGTCTCCTTCCAGCTCTCACCTATAAGTCGCTCGGGAAAGAAAACGGGTGATTTTATGCTGGATTTTCACCAGCCAGGAGCTCTCCTGCCACCTCCCCAAGCCCTGGCAGGCCTTTTCCAAGGACCCCTGCCCCCCCAGAGCCCCCCACTCACCTCCAGCCACAGTTGGGCCAGGCACAGGTGTAGGGTTTCTCCCCGGTGTGCCGACGGAAATGAGCCTTCAGGTGGGAGCTCTTGGAATACACCTTGTCACAGCCCGGGTGGGAGCACTTGTGGATCCGGGAGAGGGCAGGGGGACCCTGCTGGTGCCCGGGGGCTGCCTCCACCTCCTGCACATCCCCCAGAGCCCCAGGCCTCGTGGGGACTGGCAGGGGGGCAATCCTGACGTATTTTTGGTCCACGGTGGTCACAGGGGGCTGGAGCGGAGGGAGGAGGGGGAGGTTTGGGCCCTGCAGGCTGATGACCAGCTGGGCCACCCTGACACCCTGTGGGTGGCTGTCCATCTGGAGAGGCTGGATTTGGAGGACAACAGGGATGCTCCCAGCAGCCACTGCCCCGTCCCCACCATCAGCTGTCCCTCCAGGCTGAGCAGTGCTTGAGGCATCTCCCTGCACACCGGAGACGGGCTGTTCCCCAGAGCCACCCGAGCTGACCTCGGGCTTGCTGTCCCTCCCTCCTCCTTCATCTCTGAGGAACTCTGCCTTCTCCCTCAGGAACTCCTCGATCTCCTCCAGGGTGGGGATGAAGTCCTGGGAGAGGCTGCTGCAGAAGTCGGGCAGCCTGAGCTGAGCCTCGCAGACGGCGAGCTGGGCTTTGGGCTGTTCCCCCTTGGACAGCAGGACGCCTTCAGCGGGGCTAGTGCTGCCTGCCAGGAGGTGGCCAAAGCCCTCTGGGGGGCCAGATGTCCTCTCACTGCCATGTCCTGGCAGAAGGGACGGTGGCATCCTGCACTGCAGAGCACTGGTCAAGCTCTCGAGGCTGGTCAAGGAGGGCAGCAGCTCCTGGCAGCTCACAGAGACCATTTGTTGACTCACTACCCACAGAGGCAGCTCAGGAGCCTCTGGAATAGCTCAGCTGGGGAAGTCTTTGTTCATCTGCAAGGGAACACCACCAAGGTTATTTCCAAATTCAAAAAGCAAACATGAAAACCCTTTGAATAAAATGGACTGTTGCGTGAAAAAGAAAACATCAGAACTAGTCAGTGGCCTTTGTTTCTAAAGAGTCTGTTGCTCAAAAAAACCCCACATGCTAACCACTTTCCTCTCCAGAGTGCCAGCAGGCTGCAAAGAGCCAGATTTCCCCCCAGAAGCAAACTTCTCTGGGGAGTTTATGAAGGTAAAAATACACAATGAAACCCTTCATCCCTCTTCCACCTACGCCGGAGGGCAGCTCTGCACTGCTGGGTGGTGGAGGGGATAACTTGGGGCTTACAACCACGAGTTAATTGTGATCCAGGAGAGGGTGCTGGCTTCTCCACACTGCAAATGTGGTGCAACCACACCCTGACACAGACCTGGCCTGGCTGGATCCGAGCTCACTCCCTGCACAGGTAACCAGACAGCTCGGAGGGTGCTGCTGCCAAAGTGCCCGCGGCCCTGCTGAGTGTTCACCCACCCCGTGGGGCCAGGGCCAGCAGTGCCTGAACAAGTCAGCTGGGAGGGCCCCTGTTCAGGCAGGTCTGCCCAAACTCGGTCACACCTCCGGAGAGCAGCACAGCCAGCCTGGCTGGGGTCAGCTCCCAGGGCCCCTGAGGACACAAACACCACGGGAGAAGGAGCACAGTGTCGCCAGGTCAGACCTGTGTGGTCTCCAGAGGTGACTGGTCTTCCACGAGTCAACACCCCAGGCCCCCCCAGGCCCTGCTGTGGCTCAGGGGGTTGTGAGTGAGGTGCCAGAGCACCCTCAGAGCAGCCACACACCATTCCTGCCCCTGTGAGATGTCAGCTTGGAGGCTGCATCCTGCTCCAGAGCACCCAAACCGCCCGAGGCATCAGGAGCTATTCACATTTAACACAGAAATCCTGCTTCCAAGGGAAGGAAAACCTATGTCCAAGTCCCTTTTCCAGAGCAAGTCCACGAGATTTCTGCAGAGCTGCAAACCAGTCAGGCCAGTCCTGGTTATCAGTGTTCTCAGAGCTGGGAGTGGGAATTTTTGAGAAGCAGTCTGGATATGATATAAATGCTCTTACTCTTAAAAAAATAACCCCCACATTGTTTGAAACCTGCCCAGAGCAAGGTGCCACGTTGCTCAGGGGGCATTTGCAGCACTGCCCAAGCCATCTCACAGCTCTGCATCAGCAGCTCGTGGTGAGCAGAGGCTGCCCCTGCTCACACACGAGGTAAGGAAGGTGTCTGGGCCAATCTCAGCCTTCAGGCTTCAAATTTTCAGCACAACACAAATTCCTGCTCTGAACCATCCCCTTCAAGGCAGCACCCAACTCCACTCCTTCCTCCACTCCAGTTTTATGATCTCTGGTCTCTGCTTCTCTTTCTGCAGGGAAAGCCTCCCCCCTCTGGCTACCAAACACTTCTGTTTACCTCTTCCAGAAGGTCTTAAACCTGATTTTCCAACCAGGTCTCCTTGCAGAGCAGCTCAGGAAGTCTCCATCCCTCCAGCATGTCCCCAGGACAACTGAATTGCACTATAAACTCCTCAGCTGAGGAGCCTCGTGTGGTACAACCCTTCTGTTGAACTGACAACAGGAATAAAAGCACGACCAGAGGGCAGGAAGGGCTGGTGGTTGAGCTGCTGGCTCAGGACTGAGATCTGAGCAGGATCTCCAGCTCTGCTGCAGATTTCTCGTGCAGCCTTGGAGTGCTCTGATCCTCATTTTCCCATCTGAGTGGGGGCAATTAGTGATGCCCCACC